GAAACTTTTTCCATGGCTAGTATAAGCACTATGTTACAAAGCCTGTTTATTAGCCTCTCAGTCTTTCCCTGCTTTTAGTTACGAATTTTCAAAATACCGTGCTCATGCACGTTTTTGACATCGTTCTGGATGGCGCTAAAACAGTTCTTTCGCAAATTCTGTGCAAAAGGTAGAAAATAGACCTTTCAGTCGAAAGCATATTTCAAGCTTCCAAGATGTCGTTTTTTCTCCCTTCAAAAAAATGGTGTCGCGTGCGGGGACCGAATCTGCTGGCCAGAAGTTGCTTGAAATCAAAAAAAAAACTTGCAGAACCCAAACATTATTGAAGGTATGTATGCGTGCTACAGATGCTGGGCGCACCCACTGGCCTAGAATTTCTGTTTCCAGAACCTCACCGAAGCCTTACACACTCGACAAAAGCGCACATCTAGATCAACGATAACAATCAATAATTCGTAAATCTTTTTATAATGCAATTTATACGGCCTCTACAATTTATTTGTACTTTAAATAAGCTCTACTATTATTGAGCGAAATCTGTTGTTATTTTGTGAAATGTGGATTTTCTTATGATTTTATGTATGGTAGAAAAAGTTAGGAAAGGGGGGTCGTATCTGGGTCGCATCTAAATTTCTTCGGAGCTATTGAAGCTTGTTGGCTGCAATTCTGATGTAATATGAGGCCATCCTCCTACTTTCCCTCATAAGAATTGCAGGCTGTTTTATGTCTTCTCTGGTAAGTTACAAAATTTTGAATGCAGTGTTCGGGCAAAAACTCGATTTTGAGATTTTGTGCTTACCCGGTCCTATTCGCTACGCCAAATCCGAAAATCCACACTGGAAAGAGCGAAAACGGCAAAAAAGAGCTTTAGCGCAGGAGGGGAACAGCAATTGGGCGGGGTCTTCCCCACTGTGAATTCATGCCCAGATTCTAGAGCGGTCTGCTCGATTCCGCTAGCCGTCTTGACATTGCCACCGCCATGTGCGAACGATCGACCTAAAACCGGAAGCGGGAAGATCGCTTTAAGAGTTGGAAATCTAAGATGAAAGAAAAATCGTGAATCTAAGATGGGGTGGACCCCGCCCACCTACTGATTTCCCTCCTGTGTTAGCGCAGTTTTCCGCCGTTTTCGCGCTCTCCAATATGCATTTTCGGATTCAGCGTAGCGAATAGGCCTGGGTAAGCAAAAAATCTCAAGATCGAGTTTTTGCCCGGACACTGCCTTTAAGCTCAAAAATCCCAGTTTTTTTGCTTTTTAGGATCGCATCTAAACTTGCGGGAGTCGCATCTATTCGAGCTTACTGCTGCCCAAGAGCTGAAACTTTTTCTTTGGATAGTCTGGGCACTACACTACAGAACCTGTGCTTTGCAGCCTTTCAGTCTTTTCCTGGTCTTAGTTACAAATTTTCAAACTACAGTGCTCATGCACGTTTTTGACGTCGTTCTGGACGGCGCTCAAGCGGTTTTTTTTCGCGGGAGAAACTGTGGTAGAGGTTGGAAGTAAGTCTCTTAGTCGAAAACATCTTTTGTAGTTCAAGAATATCATTTTTTACTCCGTGCAAAAATTTGTGTCGCCTACGGGAATCGAATTGCTGGCCTGAAGTATGCCTGAAAATTCAAAAAAAAACTTGCAGAATCTCAAACATTATTAAAGGTGTGTATGTTTGCTACAGATAATGAACGCACCCATTATCCTAGAAATTCTGCTTCCGAAACCTCACTGAAGTTTTCACGCAGGTGTTTTTTGAGATTGACATTCGTTTATGCAGGTTACCGCGAGGAATGTGGGCAGGGAAGGTAAGGGGGATAAATGGGGGAGGGTGGGGGGTGGGGAGAGGGGAAGGGGGGAGGCGGAGGGGTCGTAAATGAGAGTCCCGGATCGCATCAACACGCTTGACCCTGACTGCAGGCCTTATCTGAGTTGCTGGACACTCACTATTCGAACATGGTCACTTTTGGTTTAAGCAAAGCATGCATACTGGTCCTCACCGAAGAATGTTTAAAATGTAATATATTGAAGTGGTCTGGGAATTATTACTCGCAGATAAGGGGATTGGCCATGGGACAACGTCTAGCCCAATCCTTGCAATTTGTTTCGTGAGCAAGACCGAAGAACCAGTTCTTGCACGCATGCCGTTGATGTACCGCCGTTGCATCGTTGACTGCTGCGTTATAACATCGACGCGGTCCGAAATGGGCGAATGCTTCCGAATCCTAAACCAGCAGTCGCAATACGTAATGTTTACAAGAGAAGCCCTGAAAAACGGATGGCTTTCCTTTTACCCAGATATTGTCCAGTGATACCGTTCGCATAAAATGGTACCGAAAGGAAAGTTCAAAGAATATTCTGCTGCATGCCAGATTCAGCGCACCCAATCACAGTGAAACAAGCCGTTGTGCGCAATATGTATCGAACTGCCATAAGTGTAAGCATAGATGAGCAAGAACAACTCGATTTCGTAAGACTGGCTACACAAATTGCGCGTAGCAATGGTACTTGCCACAGCGTTTAAGCTGCGCTTCCAAATTTGTAAACAGTAGCCACACTCAGGATGATTACAAAGTGTCTTGTATGCCTTTCATTTCCAATAAATTCAGTACAGTAATCAACCACTGTATGAGGCGAGCACAACTGAAAAATGTTGTTATGCTCGTAAACATTCCGAAAGAGAACATCAAGGAACAGTTGTTAGGAGCAGGCTCTATATCGCAGAATGTCTATCAGAGCAATGTATTTGTCTGCCCATACGGAAAAGTAGGTGATTGCGTGAAGGCAGGAGTAGTGTATGAATTGGAGCGCTTAATCAGGGCTCGGCACAGGTAACCTACAAGGCAAGCTAGAATCGTTTTGGAATAAAAAGCAAGGGGACATCGTTAAAGCGGACCCTCTCCCCCCCCCCCCCCTCCACCTCTACACACACAATTGCCTTCTTCCTTTATGTCACCTTTCAACTTCTATAGAAGACGCAAATTGTCATTCCTGCCTTATCGATACCATTCCTGCAAAAACCAAAAATCTCCTGTTTCAACAGATTCGACGGGTAAGCGCGCGAATTCAAACTTGCCCCGAAATAAACAAAAGACTTTGTTTACAGCGAAGAGAAAATGAAATGACACTAAAATTGGTGTGTAGATGGGCAATAAGGAGTTAGGACTATGCGCGAAAAATTATGAAAAAATTATGTGAACTGAAGGCGTGGCAAACTTTTTCCGTAGTTAGGTGGCTTTCCAGCCACCTGGACAGCCGCCTGGGGTGGCTGTAAAAAGAAAAAGTCATAAAATTCCCTTCCTTCACAGAATTTTTTCACATGTTTGACACAACTTTGTTCTGCATCAAAAACCCTACAACTAACTTTTTAAATCTTCCCAAACCCCCCGTTTCCCGCTTAGTTACAGCCCTCTAAATATTTCGTATGGCGGCGGACACAGCATGCCGCCAATTCGGAAATACAAACTTTTTTAGTTCTTTTCCGTCTCTTCAATGTCGTTTTTATATTTTGTTCCATTAGTTTTTGTTATTGATGTTTGCTCCATTCATGATTGCATCATAGTTAATGTCGTATTTATGTGGCGAACTCTATAGGAACTTTGTTTTTGAAAAATTGAAAAAACCACCTCATGCCGAGCCCTGTGCTTAATCTGCAAGACGACATATATCGGAGAGACGAGTAGATTGCTGCATGTTAGACTTAAGGAGCATCTAGCGGCAAAAAGACGAGCAAATGCAATGTCACCGTTGGGAAGACACAAAATAGAAACGCCCAATGGTGGCGATGACGTTAAGTGCACTATATTGTCATACGAGGCAGAGATCACAGTGAGGAAAACCGTTGAGGCAGCCTGGATTCCCCTTTGAAATCTTAGCGTAAACAACAAAAATGAATACGCATCAATAACAGCCGAACTCTTGCGTATCTTAATGATCTGTGGGCGATAGTCTGCACGTATATAAGTGTCGAATCATTTAACAAGAGTCAATGTAGTCTGCCTCTTTGGTACGGCTAAGTACTAACTCTATTGACTCTCACTAACACCACGGTGAATGAAGGGTCGTCTTCTCGTCAAAATGCCCCAGTACGCTGAGTCCGGTATGTTGTCTAAACTCGGCAGGGCGGGGAGGCGTTTGCGGTCTGGTTCCACGAATAACACTGCAATCTACTTTCAGGCCTCCGACAGACGATTTTGTCGAAAGGTAAAGTTAATAAAAAATCGCACCGTACAAACCTGGCACTGGCATAATATCATATGACAACTACTAACATCATTCCGGATGCCTAGGTTCAGAGAAGATAGAACATTTAACTTATTCATTTAGGTGTCAAATTCAAACAAAACACTGGGAAATTATTTAAGAAACTGTGAAGCTTTTCAGTTAGCACTTCCCGAATCGAGCTGATCAAGTTCGGGTTCCTAAGTCCCGTTACCTAGTTTGGAGCCATATGGTTACCTGCGCTTGCCATTTTACCGCTTTTCACTGTGTAAAATTCTCAGAAAAAAGCTTTTCAGAACAAGCCACATGTTTCCACTTCCCTGCATTATTCCTCTGCTATCCCTTGTTTATTTATGTGCTAAATTCGAAATCTTCCGTTACATTTGCGTTGTGAGAAAGGCGGTTAATTGTCTTGATGAAAAGAAATTGGGTTTTGTAGTAACTTGCTGAGGAAGTAGGTATGTACATATGAACGAGTATTTGCAATACTTCCTTCACTTTTCCCCTAAAAGACCAACTTGACATTTTTCTCTTACCGGACTGTAACAAACCACCGACCAAAGTCGAGAGCGTTGTTGAAAGCCTTCAGAGGATTGTGATTTTTCTTACAAGTAATGTCATGGGATTTCCTGTTACTCTATTTCTTTTCTCGAAAATATGATGAAAATTAACCTTCGGTTTTCACTGAACATTTAGTTCCTTAAAAAAGAGTTAATAGTGCCGTGTTTAGCGCAAGAATGGAATTGGATAGGTTAAACGTCAAATTCAATATTTATACAAGATCAACTCTTCAAAACGTCTCTACCTCTAGATAATCGTGTTTTATCACAGTATCGTTTTTTTCTAGCCTTTCCAGCTCAGCTCGCGCCAAGTTGGAAACTATCTTCGAATATTTTTCTCTCCACTTGATCCTGAACTCAGCAAGCTCCAGTCCGGCTTGATTGGCGTTGTCATTTCTACCACTGCAACAGCTCTTATGAGCCGATTCTATCTGTAATATGCCTCATGACAAAAGCTACGAAGAGATTATAAAATAATTGCGAAAATGTGTTTTTGCATATTGTTATGCTCTAAATGTGAAATCTGATCTTTTTATACGCAAAAATTCCGCTGCTATTATTGGAAAAAAACTAGACTCAAACCACTAGACAACTTAAACCAAACTAGCAAATACTTCTTTTTTACATGACGAATAAACTTCATTACTCTTAAAATAGTGATTATTTATTGATTAGTGATTATTTATTTACAAAATTGGCAAACAAGCTTACAAGATACACAAGGACATATTTCGGCAAAAGTCAAGTTGCGGTAACTCTCCACTCCATCCTTGCAGAGAGTTCCCTAATGTCACTAATGTCGAGTACGGAAAGAATACTTTTTATAAACTCGATCAGCCCTATCAAAAAGATCATTTAACTAATGGTGCTGCGTTTCATCTAATTGTAAAGGAGAGGGACTGTCTTGTGAGGCACGCGGCCAAGACGTGTTTTCATCAACGAACCAAATGGGTTCCGCAACCAACGGGTAAGCGAAAACGGTGCCACTGGGTTAGATCGATGTTCACAAAAAGCACTGCTGATTTCGCGAAACCACTAGTTTCATGAATACCGATTTCGTGGGTTAAGCCTACCCAGAGGGTTCCCGGAACCCACTGGATTCGGTGATGAATACGGTCACTGCTCGCATTTGACAAAATATAACTTTTGTTTTCGTGTTTGGGGTATTCATTGGCCCTCGCTGAGAGGCAGTGGCGATCTTGGATGATTTTGGGGGGGGGGGAGAGCAGAAACCTTTATAGATAAAGGGGAAGCATTGCCTTGAGTCATGAACATGTCTTAGAATCGTACAAACTAACCATCAGAATTTCTTCACGAGAACGCGCTTTGGATATGCAACTTCTGATAACATCAGATAAATCATTGTAATTCTCCGCAAACCTAAACATACAATATCGTCAAAATTCTGAGAAGTTGCAAATTTGAGAAGTATAAAATGTTTTGAGCAGAAACAATTAATGTTTTTGAGAAAGCAAAAGTAGGCTCTGTTGAAATTTTCGGACTAAGATTTTCATTGAAACATTTACTCAAAAATATGTTGAAGTTTGCATTACGTACTTAAAGTGCCTGCGTTCATTACGATTCAGGAATGATATCCACGAAAGTCCATAATGGAGGAAGATGGACTTTCAAGCCCCATTTTATTCGTTGCGGGAAAAACTGGTCGGAATCTGTAACCGCCAGCGTTATCTAAAAATCTTTATCTCATCTCAACCACGAGGCAAAGCGGTGTGATGAAAATGATTTAACCCTACCTGAGCTCCCGTTTGCGGAAGAATCATGCGAAAAGTCCATTTAGAATGGGGCAATGGGATTTACCACCATTTTAAATAGACATGAAAGCCCATCGTACTCCCAGCAGCAAGGTCGGCTGGGACTAAGCCCATTTTTAACCTTTTCGCATATTTTCGATTGCGATTTTTGGAGAAATGTGTTCCTCAACCTATTTTAAGGTAACAGGTAAATAGAAAAAGTTTCATTTTTTATGAAATCTAAAACAAGTGTTTCTTTCAAAACTCATAGAAACGCTATAAAAAATATGGAAGAAAATTAAATTCACCCAAATATTCGCTAACAAACCCAAATGCATCCTAATATCAGGTCAATCAGAAAATTCGGAAAATGCTAGCTTTTCGCATCATCAACCAAAACAAATTCATGATTCGTAATCTGAAAAAAAATGTATTTCGATGTAATTACTTACAATAAGAAGCTATCTTTTGCTAATTTCGTGGAACTGAACTTTAGAGACGGCATTTTGAACGCAATTTTGAGTTTGGTCCGCAAGAATTACTGAAGTGCCGCTAGCTAGTAAGAGAAATTCTGTGAAAAATTTCTTACTAGCATAATTCATACATTCAACTGCTCTGAGGTATAAATATTAGCGCTGAAAGACAAAGAAAAGCTAATATAGAGCAGTCATCTGTCATCTTGCAAAGTCATCTTTTGGGATTCGTAGTTTTTATGACTTGAGAAACCATTTGAATTGTAGTGTAGTACAAGGTTTTCTATAAGGAGCATTTTAGTTTACAGATTGCAGTGCAACTCCAGCCAAAGTTTGCTTTTTGCAGAAATCTCCTACGATTTCGATTTAATGCTGATTCGTAGAAGTTTTGAAGCAAAGGCCCGGATTACATGAATTTTAGTCTTGGAAGTGATTTAGATGCATAGTCATCGATAGTGAATGGCATTCTGTGAGGTGTAGCGAAGTGGGAAAGAATAGAATAGCCACTTGAGTGACATTGTAATGTTAGGTCAGCCTAGTTAGATATCGACCACTTGGTGGAAATGAGTTTGCAAGAGTGAGCAAACAGGTTGAGACAAGTTGGAGAAAGTTTGTTAAAGTGTTTTTGTATGGAATGAATGGATTCGCGAATGCAATATCTTATGCACAGCATGGACTCAGTCCATTTTATTCGCACGAAAAGCCCATTTCGCGGGGCTTTCGTAGATATCATTCCAGAATCGATTATATGGGGTTTGCTAAAAAGCTTTATCACCCGAACACTTACGCATTGCATAAGTTCGAAACTGATTAAGTTTAAAGCAGAACTCTAAATACATATTCTCACCTATCATGAATTGCTTTCCAATTTGAAATGCAAAACCGAAGCAACAATTCATCTGATAGTGAATTTTTTGCAACACTTTGAAATACATGTGCTACCTCCCTGTCATCGTATGCACTTTTGTTGTCTAGTACTTCTAGAAGTTTCCTGTAATTGGGTTCTGTCTTCGATTAAACTTCAAAATTAACAAAATAAAAATGTGACGTTTCTACAGACATATAGATGCCCATTGCACCTTCTTATGCCGAGCATGTTTGGCAAAGCAATTTTTCTGCTGTGAAAAAACGTTATGCATTTCAAAATTATGGCAAGCAAGTAATGTCGGAAAAACGAATACAAATGAGTTTGACAAGGCTATAGCTGCCTATTGCTAGTACAGTGGGCCCATAGTTATAAGAACATTTGTAAGATTTCGAAAATTACACATTCATGCCGTTAGCGTATCCGAAAATGAAAATCGGCTGCGCTGACCGAAAATGAAGAAAATATACACACAAGGTTGGGGGAAGTCTTTGAACACGGTGTTTTTATCGTAATGAGGAAGCTAGGCAAAATGATTACATAATCAATAAATAACCTTTGCTCAACTGTTTGCTACATAAAATTGACTCTACATTTCGAAGATTTCTCCTTAGACGCAAACGCACTCGGGAACGCATAAGAGCGCTGTCCATGGTAACACGGGGGTGCTTCACGTCGACTTTCTCCCACACATTTCAAAAAGCACGTCGCAGAAACTTCACGGTCTTGCGTGGGTGAGCGCAGGCTTTTGCCTAAAGTTCTAACCAGACGCCGTAGTTGAGCGCATCAGATTAGAGAATAGGAGGCCCTTCCGCAGGGGAGCCATATTTGAACAACCTTTGTGCGCAGATGCGCTGTCTGCTGGGAGCAACAATCGCTCCCGGCAAATGGGTATTGGTCTAGGCCAACAATTTCTTTTTCAAGATGCTTTACACATGCGTAGAAGTGCCTACCTTGATGCACTGAGAAACACAAATCAGCGGCGTCTTGCCGGAAGCTATCACCGCGCAATTATTACAGAAGCCAGTTGGAGCGTTTTTTTGCGATTCAACTTTGCGCTTTTTGAGGCGATTAGGTGATAATTCTGTTGTTTTAACGGTCAAAAACTGCTTTACGGTGAAAATTGACGTCAAAAAAGAGTATCGTTTGGCGGCACACACACACACACACACACACACACACACACACACACACACACACACACACACACACACACACACACACACACACACACACACACACACACACACACACACACACACACACACACACACACACACACACACACACACACACACACACACACACACACACACACACACACACACACACATACATACATACATACATACACACACAATTCCATTCAACTTGTCCGACTCAGGAAATTCAGACCAGTTGACACCTTTATTTTTTTGCTAGGCGAGGGGAAAGTCAAACTTCGCTAACACTTTGTTTACACTTTCGGCTCTAAGTGCGCTTTGTTTAGAGAGGCAAAGGTTATGAATAAAGTGGCAGAACTTGGTTGCCTGATTTTCTCAACCAAAAAATTGCGAGCTCTGCAAGTCCAGATGCCATCCTTCTACTGTGTAGCAATTGATAATCAGTTCCAAATTTAGCGTAAAAATCTAAACGTGGCGATTGATTCGGCTGCGTGGGTTGTTTATGACTCATCATAAAAAAATCGTTTTTATCATATTATAACACTTTTATGGTCTGAATCATACCTTTTCAAAAGGTGTACGTTTTGTATACAGCCAAGGCCTGTGCAGAGGCGTCTTCTTTCGTCTGCATCGTCTTCAATTATTAAGAAATTGCTCACCTAAAACATTGATTACAAAATAAAATTCGTTTAACATGTTTCGGACCGGTGCTGCACATGGTGCAGCACGCTGCTTGAACGATTCTTTTGACGTTTACAGGAGAATTCCTTTTAGCCCACCGTCATCAAGTCAAAGGGTTAAGATTCTACTTTCCAAATGAGTCTGGAGCTCTGCCGCCGATATTTGTTTAAGAGATATGAAGACAAACCGTGCAACAGTTGCAACGAAGTGCGGCGACGCGAACGACGCGTGCAAACGTCGCAACTTTTCTTTGCTTCAATTTCAAAGAGAAAAACGGTAGTTATAATAATGATGGGTACCGTGTGCAATATAGATAGTTTTGAATATTATTAAAACCTGAGTTCTTCTTCGTATCCTTTTAAGAAGGCGGAGAAGTCCCTCTCAAGCAACAAAATTCAAACATTCGAATTAACTCAGAATTTTGGGTATGGAGCTTATCTAACATGCTGGTTAAAGGATATTCGTCCACGACTGCTCCGACTCGTGCAATTACACCACCGTGGGCGCGCCTTATCGGAGTCTTTCCAGCTTGACAGTACGTTGGAGCGCGCGGGGACTTTGTAGCTCGCAGCAACATTGTCCTTCAATCTCTTTTGTCGATTTAAGCACTTCGTATCGTTTTTCTTTTTTGTTTTTACATGTTGAAAGCCATTCGTTTTCCCTTTCTTAGGTGCTTAGGTGCTGTTGGTGATCATATATCCTGCTTTGTTCTTTAATGAAAACTCTAAAAGGTAAGGAAACAATTAGTTTAGGCGCATTTCCTGGGCTCCTCTCCCTTTTACCCAGCAGCCATTCATCAAGATCACGAACATCGTGAATTGCAAAATTAGGTGAAAGGATGGTTTGTTCAGAAACAGTGGTGATTATCATGCATTTTCCTTAGATGAGACCACTCGTGTTTATTTCAGCACTCCTACATGGTGTTCCTGATGTAGAAGTGCTGAAGTAAATACCACTTCAGTGATCTGTCCTAAGAAACATGTCAAATTATCAAAAAACATTGACGAAAACATGCTATTCCAATCGTAGCCATGATCACACCACTGCAACTCTGAAGTAAGGTCATTCCTCATCTTAACTTTGCCCGCGGCGGTGCTCACATAGATATTAGAAAGAGTCAGCCTGAAATGAAAAATAAGAAGAAAAAATGTGGAATGTTTGGCACGAAAGAAGTTAAAAGGATGCTGCGGGCTAACACGTCTCCGCGCGCTGCAGCGTACTGTCAAGCGGGAAAGGCTTCAATAATTCACGCCCACGGTGGTGTAATTGCACGAATCGGGACAGTCGTCGACGAACATCCTCTGCAGATGTAGCCCACAGTCTACAAAATAAGGTCCCTTTGTTGGCTGACGGCTGAAAGCACACTATTTTTCGCCGCGCGCGATTTCGCGGTCTGAAACGTTTAAAGGTACAAAAGGCAATTCTGAGTACCGCTTATTTTTTTTCAGTCGGTTTTGTTACACACATCGATCAGGTCGCGGTACCTCTTCTAATCTAGACCATTTTTTTACAAATCCTCATGTAATATGTGCTTTTGTCTAGAATTATTTTGTCATAGATACTAACAATAAGAGGATTGACACTCCATTTGGCACGGTAAAGATCAACACACGGTTTGATTGTATTTGTCAATTTTTTCAAAATCAACTTCAGCGAAGTGAGAGTACTTGGAATGAGAGAACATCTTGGTTTCTTTAAACAATGATTCTTATGCTTCTTCAAACTATTTTCGCATGTGAACTTAGCCAAGAAAGCATGTGAGTATGGCTTCTCAGAAATTCTTGCGGTGCGATCGACCCTCCTTTAGGCACTTCAGCAACGGACGACATAATCTAAAGCTTCTGTGCGTGCACCACATAGTGAAAATGACGGCCAAGCAGCAGGCAATCTTACAGTGTGATTGGCCGGCGATAGATTTGCCCACGCGAGAGGCCATAATGTGCCCGTCAGAACGGCCGGTAACACCATATGCCATGCAAGCGGAAGACAATGACTCTTATATCTTCCTCACAATATAAACAAGTTGTAAGCGTGAACGATATCTGGGTGAGATACGACGCTGTGATTAGGATGCCCTTAGTATTGACAATTAAGATTAGCATCGAGCTTTGGTGTCTCGACTAAAAGACTCAAATGAGTGGAGTTGAGGTTGATCAAAATGGTCAATGAGGGTTGGGTTCGCTTCAGTGGAAGCTGGACCAACGTGCAGGAACGATTAAACATCAATCCACATTCATTCCCGATTACGTGCATGTACGAGAACGAAGAAAAGTCAAGTTGGTTATGGTATCCTGCAGCACATCCAAAAGGCGAGACCGTGTAGCGCCCAATTTTTCGGCACAAGCGGCAGGCAATCGTAACCTTGCCTGCGATCCACCTTAGCCGTACGATCGACCCTTGACGACTGTACCCTTGCTGCCTCTTGTCTCGCAGCCTAGATAATGGGACCATAGCGTTCTTGCCTGTTCTGAGCCAACCTGGCGAATTCGTTGAAGAATAAAATTGCCACAATGTCGAGATATTCTTGGATGTGAATTGATGGGTTTATGATTCAGAGCATAATGATCTCGCGTTTATGGGTAAGCGAAATAAAACTCTTGATAAAATCTCTCAAACATGAACATAATATGTCAATTTTTTACGCATTGCAGGTGGTAACTTTTTGTATAAGCGGCACCAATTTTGATAGAGGAAAAGAAACAATATTCTTTCGAAAGAAATGGTTGCTGGATAAGAGAAAAGCTCCAGGTTATTAATTAGGCCTTTCGCTAAATTTTCACTGAATAAACAGACAGAGTCCTTGGGGAGGGGGGGGGGGGTGGAGGAGAGTTTTTTCTCGCCCGAAATTATATTCTCGTACCTAAGAGTTCCTTCCATACTACGCCGCAGGACGCGACAGCACGTCGCAGCACGCTGCGGCGTGAGTGTTACACTTACGGCCCCATAGCTTCGCCGGTTATGGATGCACATCTATATTTGCTGCACGTTCGTGTTCTCCGAGAGGTTCCTTCACAGCGAGCGAGCTTAAATTTCACTGCGACTGCAGCGGCGCACGCCGCAGGACACCGCGTGCTGCAGCAGGCTGCTGCGTCCTGCGGCGTAATATGAAGGAATTCGGACTTGCTATAATTCAAGCTTCTCAGGATACCAAGACACTGCAAGCTTCGCTCCCTTATCCAGTATCGCCTCGGCTGCCGAGATTTCAAAGAGAGTTCCGAAATTGAAATTCAGTGGCGAAATTGCTCTGATCAAGACCAAGTTTCGGCTTTAGTGCTTTTCAACGTTGCTCTTTTCAACTGTGGGATGTTTGTTGCAAAGTCAAACTTTATTACCGATTATGCCCGATTAAGATCAAATTTGGATTCAAAGTCTTTCGAAAATTTGTTTTTCACAACAAGACCGAAGTTCAGGTTTACAGATACTCGAGATCGGTGTATGTTTTGTGCAATATCAAAAGTGATTTGATTTTCTGAATATTTTTTGGAAACAAAAAACGTTTGTTTCAGAAAAACCGAGTTATTTCGTTATTCGTTATTGAAATTCCAAATGCAGAAATATTAGGTTGTCCGGAAATTAATGCAGGTTTTGAATGCCAACCGCAATAAGTCATACACTTCTCATTTCTAAGTAGGTTGCAGTACATCATTTGATAGAGCAAAGCAAGCTCTACAAGATGGCAATCTTGATTCAGCAACAGCTCTAATCCAGCATGAGTTTCGAGCCAAAAACTAAAAAGATTCAACTACCCAAAAAATTGAGAAAAGTCGTAACTCAGTTTATAAAAATCCTACAAAAATTCTAACTCGCTCACATAAACCCTGTCCACATAAGACGTATATGTACGCCGTTGCCGTTTTTTTTCTCGGTTAGAAACCAAGAAAACAAAGATTTTTATGTTTCTGCCAAAGTGATCCTGTGCCGTTCCCACATAAATAGTTGTATACTACAAACCTGTAGAAGTACAAACGTAAATTTCCAGCTCTCTACATGCTTTAGTTCTCGAGAAATATCGAATACAGTTTTCCTAGTCATGTGGTCCAAGCTAAAATTCAAATTTCTCAAGAACTAAAGCTTGTAGAGAGCTGGAAATTTACGTTTGTACTTCTACAGGTTTGTAGTATACAACTACTTATGTGGGAACGGCACAAAATCACTTTAGCAGAAACATGAAAATCTTCGTTTTCTTGGTTTCTAACCGAGAAAAAAATACGGCAACGGCGTACATATACGTCTTATGTGGACAGTGTTTACGTGAGCGAGTTAGAATTTTTGTAGGATTTTTATGAACTGAGTTACGATTTTTCTCAATTTTTTGGGTAGTTGATCTTTTTAGTTTTTGGCTCGAAACTCGTGGTGGATTAGAGTTGTTGCTAAATCAAGAATGCCATCTTGTAGAGCTTGCTTTGCTCTATCGAATGATTTATTGCAACCTAGTTAGAAATGAGAAGTGTATGACTTACTGTGGTTGGAATTCAAAACCTGCATTAATTTCCGGACACCCTAATACATATAGGGCATTCTAAAAATCGCGACGATGGCTTGACCGCGCGCGACAGGCACGAAACTCTCGGCGACCTTTTCTAGGTTTACATCCTACCCGAATGTTCTGCTTACATATGACAGAGGCGTAGGACTATATGTCGACGAATGTGGAAGGGTCCAAAGAGCCCAACCAAAGAGCCCAATGTGAGTCCGTGATGGTTTTTTTCTAAAATCATTCTTGAGAATATGTTTAGATACGTTACCTGATTGTGGTCCAGACGAGAATTCTTGACATACCGCAGGTCACTGGTCGGAATGGTTTCAAACAATGGTAAAAACAAGTTCATCATTTCGAAAAAAAAACAAATATAATTGCTGCACATATTTTTGTCAATAGTTTATAATTTTGAAAAATTGAATTGATCTTTTTTCCAAGGATTTTCGACTAAATCCGAATTTGATTTTGTTTAGACATTATCGGTGCTAAACCTTGAATTTTCAACAGATTTTACTGCTGAAAAGAACAAGCTCGAAAACCCCTAAATCCGAAATTTGGTCTTGATTGGAGCAATTTCGCCACTGAACTTTAATCTTGTTTTTGAATCCCGGTTTCAGCATCTGAAGAGACACTGAATAAGGAAAAGGGCTTGCAACGTCTCGGTACGCTGAGGAGAGTAATTATAGCCGAGTCTGAATGTGCCTGGCAGGCACATCACTTAGATGCGAAAATGTGGCTTGGTGATAATCTTTCCGCACCCACGTCCTTGATATTCAGTTCGGGCGAAGATTACACGATGGTCAATGATAGCTTATGGGATCTGATCATTGGTGGAGAGCTAAAGAATTCAGTTATTAAAGACACTTTTATGTACAATTTTGTGTCCAGGTTTGCCTAGACTCTGTCTTTGGTATAAGGCATATGCGAAGCTCTAAGTGATAAAAGATGAAAACAGTTAAGAACGATGAACGCATGTCAGTAACGAATGAGTGCTTTGTCAGAGTAGTGTCGCACACCTTTCATCACCATGGCTGCGACCTCCTTTTATGGTCGCCTTTTTCTAGCTCAAAATTGTTAAAAGTAATTTTTTGCTTTTCTGAGCTCTATGAGACGTTAAATATAATGGGCTAACTTCACTTTCGATTTAAACTATAAGATAGTAATGCAGACTAAGAGCATTGGGAGGCAAATGTACATTCTACCAGGAGCATCATTACTTATAATAACGGGCTAAGGGTTGTTTGCGTGTTTTTGTGTGTGTTCTGAATGTCTGAATGTCTGTCTATCATAAAATTCACAGAGCCAGTTCCAGCAAAGATCTTGAGCTAGAATTTTGACCATAGCACACTGTCAGCATATGGATCAACTGTGCAAAAGCTCAAGTAGGTTTGTTAGGTGGAACCAGTGGAAATTGTGGGCCAAATGGATCCATGCGGCTTTTCTCCTACAAAAGTGGGTTTAAACCAAGACCTTTTGCAAAATTGTAGAGTCCTTTGGCATGTATTCCTTAAGCCATTGAATTTATCTTTAAAAAAATAATCAAAGTCACATTCTTCAAAGACAACGGCGCCAAAAAGGATAATTGCATAGATGGTCGTTTTGTGAAGGTTCTACAAAAGAATTCAAAAAGATTTTTGCTCCGAGATATAGCTCTCGGTAGTCATTGCCATTACAGCAACTATCAAGGCATTATAAATTTGGTAATCAATTCAAATTCGCAATTATTTCTGGGCACAGAGATTTTCCTCTCTTAGAATCACCGATCTTATATGGAAAAACTTTAAAAATAAGTGATTGTTTACCATTCATTCGTGATGGCCACATTGCGCGTTGAGTTTCACACCCATCATTAATTAAGCAGGAGGATGGCATAGATGGTGGAACCAGTGCGAGCCTCTGCGAAGCAAAGGTGGCGCAGTGGTTATATGGTGAGAAAAACTAAATCAAAATATGCGAACACCTAATCAAAATATACAAACACCTCTTGAACAATCTATGACGGACATTAGTGACATCAGAATGCATTTCCGAAATGTAACATTTGCAGTGAAGAGATGCTTCAAAATTTCAGTTTAGAAAAAGTCAACCTCCAGCATTGAGACATTTAATTGATAGATTGATCACCTTTGCCCTTGCAGTTAGAAAAGGTCGGGATTTTTGGGTTGAACAAATAAACAACGGACTTGGTTTATTCACTTACTTTCTGAAATGCGATATTTCCCAGTTCTTTGATTCCTTGACAGTAAGCAACTTTTCTGAAACTGCTCTGAATCCTGGAAATATGAATGTTTGGAACGCTTCAGAAGAACTAATTCAGAAAAAAGCGGTTTTTTGAAGGGTAATAAAAGTGTCAAAAGTAAAATAGATCAGCTAGCATTTAAGATACTCTACAGAGCTGAAAATGTCTCTGGCATGCACTGCTCTTCCGATCTTGCAGTTATCAAATGCAAAAATATGAGACTACATTCGTAACATTTATCACAGTGGTAGAATGATCTTTGTGACTAGTGCGTACGTAAAAATCTAACAGCAAAAAAGCCCCAATCATGGTCAATGAAGGCAGGGATGCACGATACCCTTGTGCAAAGACAAATCATTGAAAAAGTTGAAATTGAATAAATGATTTAAATGTAGGGAGTCAGAATCAGAAATGAATGTTAAAGCGTAGACAAAATACACTTTTACAATTCAGCTACAAAGTAGATATCCAAACGCTAACGGTATGATCCAACACTTTGACTTTTGACTAAAAATCTTTCTTTTTCCGAAAATGAGATCTTGTCTAAGAGTCAGCGAGCCTATGGGCAAAAGCTAGCTGGCAATAATCTTTGAAAAAAGTAAAAATTCTTGAAACGCCAGCAGAATATGCAAAGCAAAGAGTAAGAAAACGGGAAAATCTCAGAAGGGATGTACTCAGCACGTTAAAAACCAGCTATAGCAAGTAAGAGAACTATATCAGTGAAGTTACCAGGAAAGAGCTAAAGCCAACATTAGAGGTAAATGCATTTTTTTCTTACTCTGATGGTACAAATTTAGACGGAGCACTAGGCACATAAGCTACTTACCATCCATACTAATAGATCTTGATTGATATGATCTGTCAAAGATGAGGTTTGAAAATTTTTTTGTGTTACAATTATTTTTCTGAACTAGGACTTTAGTACGAACGAATGCGAGCTGTGTTGAGAAAGATTCAATGTCTATGGATTTTGGTACATTTCAAAATAAAAATACACATCAAACATGTCAAAGTGCCAATTCGCAAGACGCTCATCATTTGCACCCTCTCAATAAACTGCTGTCAGCAGTGATAGGAGCAGTCAAAAGCTTATATTAGGTCAGCAAAGTTCTTACCTAATTCGAGCAAAATCAGTAACTTTTAAAATGTTATGAAATCATCAATTTTTGTATCCTAAAAATAATAGAAGGTCGTACGCCTTATGATCATAACTCAATTACACCCTGACGTTTGTTAGCTTTGAGGAACAAAGTCAAAATTGGCACTTTCCAAGTTTGATTGAGTTTGGTCTGACTAGAAAGTGATTTAAAAAGCCCTAAAAACCGCAACGTTTCTTACATGAAACTAGTGTATGCTACCCGTTACAGTCATTAGACCGCATGAAGATGGAAAAATCTTGAGCAGTTGAAACAATGTTTTGAGAAGCGCTTAGGGATATGGGTCTCATTACAAATGGTTAAGCCAAGTGTAAGGTAACTTTCGATTATGCACGAAATGCTTTTAATCGTACTTGGAAGCCTCGATCATGCGCTCGACTGTAAAGGAGGAAAAACGAACTGCTTCTTGGAAGTCGTAGTAACAATGGGACAGGAAGGAAGGAAGAAGTGGCTTCTAGAGATTACTCATGCCTTTGTTAGAAGAATTTATGGTACTACTCATGCCTTGTTGGACAATTAATGGCGGATGACAGAAAGGAAATCCAGACAAGAGGAGTAAAAGAACTTGTAGCGCCCGGTTTATAAAGCACTATATAAGCATCATAGAATTCGTTGTAAAGGGTGTGTTGTATAAGTCTTGCCATTTTATATTCCCTCATCTTTCCTCTTGAGGGCCTCCTCTCCGGAGGCCCGCTAGTTAACCTAGTCACCTCTTTGTTCCTATGAATGATCCTTTCCCTTTCACCCGATGTGTCATCCGCTAATTTCACTATCTTGATTGATCCTGTCAATGATGCAAGGCCTAGCGCGGGCAAGATTTGTGCAGTGTGTGTGTATGTGTACTCTGAGCTGAGAATAAATGGTTGTTGGGAGATGGTGCAGATCCAGATATATTGGCGGCATTTCAACAGGACTAGAACTCTGGCTGGTTATTTATGATGTGCTAACCCCGTAGCGTAAAGAAACTAAGGTTGCAACATTGCGCTAATATCAGCACTTTCTCCGGTCCCGCTTCGGAATTGTGACATGAGAATTTATGATAATGGGTTAAGGCCGCACAAAGAAATACAATATACCGGCCTTACATGGAGGTTCCGGCCTCGAACTTAAGCACTATTTACAACAGCCGTTGCGCCTGACTTAGACTTTTTGAGAACTGCGAATATTATAAAAGCGCGATTAGACTTCATAGCGCCAATCATGAACCCCACACAGTTGTTTTTCTACCTGACTATTAATTTGCGAGACGAGACCCCAGAAGGCCCCGAGGACGAGCGAACTAGGGCAGAACGCCTATCAGTCCTGCCCGAAAATGCCCCGGACATTCGTCGTTACGCGACGTTCTATCGTCTTGCCACCATATTGGAGTTCTTAACCCGCACCAATTTGAGCGAACTGACGACCAATATCATCTCCAGCTGGTGTACCATCATATTCGAGATTGCTCCCGCTGCGTTCAACGGAAGCTGCGGCATGTATATTACGGACCATGGCCGCTATCGGGTCATGGCCCGCAACGCGGGGAACTTCTACTTCCCGTGCAAAAAATGCCCCATGTGCCGGGGTACGCATAGCCTGAGGGATCACCTCAGGCTAAAGTTTGGGGCAACCCTGGTCTACCCCGGCGCCCCCCTCCTAGATTTTTCCCCGGAGGGGGTCCGGGGGACGGTCCTCGCAATTGAGCAAATTTGGCTGGCAATCCCAAAACTGCCAGTCACCGTCCCCCGGAACTTTTTAGTCTGGTGACGAGAATGGAGGTTGCGGGACGCAACCTTTCAATACCCCGCGGATGTAAGGTAACTTTCGATTATGCACGAAATGCTTTTAATCGTACTTGGAAGCCTCGATCATGCGCTCGACTGTAAAGGAGGAAAAACGAACTGCTTCTTGGAAGTCGTAGTAACAATGGGACAGGAAGGAAGGAAGAAGTGGTTTCTAGAGATTACTCATGCCTTTGTTAGAAGAATTTATGGTACTACTCATGCCTTGTTGGACAATTAATGGCGGATGACAGAAAGGAAATCTAGACAAGAGGAGTAAAAGAACTTGTAGCGCCCGGTTTATAAAGCACTATATAAGCATCATAGAATTCGTTGTAAAGGGTGTGTTGTATAAGTCTTGCCATTTTATATTCCCTCATCTTTCCTCTTGAGGGCCTCCTCTCCGGAGGCCCGCTAGTTAACCTAGTCACCTCTTTGTTCCTATGAATGATCCTTTCCCTTTCACCCGATGTGTCATCCGCTAATTTCACTATCTTGATTGATCCTGTCAATGATGCAAGGCCTAGCGCGGGCAAGATTTGTGTAGTGTGTGTGTATGTGTACTCTGAGCTGAGAATAAATGGTTGTTGGGAGATGGTGCAGATCCAGATATATTGGCGGCATTTCAACAGGACTAGAACTCTGGCTGGTTATTTATGATGTGCTAACCCCGTAGCGTAAAGAAACTAAGGTTGCAACATTGCGCTAATATCAGCACTTTCTCCGGTCCCGCTTCGGAATTGTGACATGAGAATTTATGATAATGGGTTAAGGCCGCACAAAGAAATACAATATACCGGCCTTACATGGAGGTTCCGGCCTCGAACTTAAGCACTATTTACAACAGCCGTTGCGCCTGACTTAGACTTTTTGAGAACTGCGAATATTATAAAAGCGCGATTAGACTTCATAGCGCCAATCATGAACCCCACACAGTTGTTTTTCTACCTGACTATTAATTTGCGAGACGAGACCCCAGAAGGCCCCGAGGACGAGCGAACTAGGGCAGAACGCCTATCAGTCCTGCCCGAAAATGCCCCGGACATTCGTCGTTACGCGACGTTCTATCGTCTTGCCACCATATTGGAGTTCTTAACCCGCACCAATTTGAGCGAACTGACGACCAATATCATCTCCAGCTGGTGTACCATCATATTCGAGATTGCTCCCGCTGCGTTCAACGGAAGCTGCGGCATGTATATTACGGACCATGGCCGCTATCGGGTCATGGCCCGCAACGCGGGGAACTTCTACTTCCCGTGCAAAAAATGCCCCATGTGCCGGGGTACGCATAGCCTGAGGGATCACCTCAGGCTAAAGTTTGGGGCAACCCTGGTCTACCCCGGCGCCCCCCTCCTAGATTTTTCCCCGGAGGGGGTCCGGGGGACGGTCCTCGCAATTGAGCAAATTTGGCTGGCAATCCCAAAACTGCCAGTCACCGTCCCCCGGAACTTTTTAGTCTGGTGACGAGAATGGAGGTTGCGGGACGCAACCTTTCAATACCCCGCGGATGTAAGGTAACTTTCGATTATGCACGAAATGCTTTTAATCGTACTTGGAAGCCTCGATCATGCGCTCGACTGTAAAGGAGGAAAAACGAACTGCTTCTTGGAAGTCGTAGTAACAATGGGACAGGAAGGAAGGAAGAAGTGGTTTCTAGAGATTACTCATGCCTTTGTTAGAAGAATTTATGGTACTACTCATGCCTTGTTGGACAATTAATGGCGGATGACAGAAAGGAAATCCAGACAAGAGGAGTAAAAGAACTTGTAGCGCCCGGTTTATAAAGCACTATATAAGCATCATAGAATTCGTTGTAAAGGGTGTGTTGTATAAGTCTTGCCATTTTATATTCCCTCATCTTTCCTCTTGAGGGCCTCCTCTCCGGAGGCCCGCTAGTTAACCTAGTCACCTCTTTGTTCCTATGAATGATCCTTTCCCTTTCACCCGATGTGTCATCCGCTAATTTCACTATCTTGATTGATCCTGTCAATGATGCAACGCCTAGCGCGGGCAAGATTTGTGTAGTGTGTGTGTATGTGTACTCTGAGCTGAGAATAAATGGTTGTTGGGAGATGGTGCAGATCCAGATATATTGGCGGCATTTCAACAGGACT